TATTAAAGTACGAGTAATCAGCTTTTGAATTAGATCAAATATCTACATGTTATTTATAATTATAAAATCTGTATACGTGAGAAATTTTCTTTCTTTCTCGATGAATTTAAATCTGATGGATACCGCGTATTTTTCAGGTCCGTCCACCTCAGCCTGCTGTTTATCTCTTCGTCATAGACGTTTCTCGTCTCGCGGTAGAAAGTGGCTACTTGCAGATCGTCTGCAATACTATCACCGATGAACTGTCACGTCTCCCCGGCGACAGCCGTACTCAAGTCGGTTTTCTCGCTGTCGACTCTGCCCTACATTTCTTCAGCTTGCCCGATAACGTATCGCAGCCGCACGAAATGATTATGCTAGATATTGACGACGTGTTTCTGCCATGTCCAGAGAACCTGATTGTAAATCTGAAAGAACGCGAGGAACTCATTCGCGACCTTCTCGCTCAGCTATCCATCAAATTTTGCGGTACTAATGATACTAACAACGCTCTCGGCGCCGGTCTTCAAGCTGCCCTGAAACTTCTTTCCGCCACTGGAGGACGTGTCACTGTTTTCCAAACATGCCTGCCTAATGTTGGTCCAGGAGCCTTGCAGCCGCGAGAAGACCCCAATACCAGAGCGAACAAAGATGTGCCGCATCTTAATCCAGCGACGGATTTCTACAAAAGGTTTGCTCTGGATTGCAGTGGACAACAGATTGCGATTGATTTGTTCTTATTGAATAGTCAATACAGCGATCTGGCAACTTTATGTAAGTAAAACTATTTCTATTGAATACTATTCTTCTAATGAAACGATAAATTTTGCAATAAAACGAATATGCAAGTAATTAATTCAATTCTTGTGATTTTTTAAAATCTTTTTTTTTCTAATATATATTTAATCCCACGATTTAAAAAAATAATAGATTCTCTATTAAATCTTGTCAGATATATTTGAGAAATGAGCATAAGAAATTTTGATTTTTATAATCGGGGAAATTTCTTTCATTATATAAATTAGTAAATGCTGCAATGGTTAAATTTATCTATTCTATTAATCATTAAAATGTATTGTTTATTGTCAATTCATTTATGTTATATTATTTGTAATATTTAATCATTTTGTTATTATATTCTGCAGCATGCATGTCAAAGTTTACCGGTGGCTGCATTTACCATCTGCCACTGTTTCGAGCATCAAAGTTGCAGAATACTGAGACATTGGAAAGATTGCTACGCCGTTATTTGACCAGAAAGATCGGTTTCGAAGCAGTAATGCGACTTCGCTGCACCCGCGGTCTCAGCATCCACGCCTTCCACGGCAGCTTCTTCGTTCGATCGACAGATCTTCTCTGTTTACCAAATATTAACCCAGACGCCGGTTTCGGTATGCAAATCTCTATCGACGAGAACCTCTCCGACGTGCAGAATGTGTGCTTCCAAGCATCTCTTCTCTATACTTCGAGCAAAGGTAATAATATTTATTCTTTTTCCTTTAGAACAATTTTCTCTCACATTTCACATTTCATATATTTATATTTAAAGGTGAACGAAGAATTAGGGTACACACTCTATGTTTGCCAGTCGTGGCGAGTCTATCGGATATTCTACATTCTGCAGATCAGCAATGCATAGTGGGCCTGTTATCAAAGATGGGTTGGTAAATCTTTCACAATTTCATACCGCTTTTAATTATGAATCCTTATATAAAACGTAAAAATTCAATAATAAAATATTTATCTCTAATTCCTGCAACTAAAAAATAAAATTTAAAAAATCATTTATTTAAATATTTATAGCTGTCGATCGATCGCTTCAATCATCTTTATCGGATGCTAGAGATGCATTGATAAACGTTGCTATCGACGTCTTGTCCGCGTACCGACTATCACAATCTTCCGGCGGCGGAGGACTTATCGCTCCGGGAAGTTTAAAGTTGTTGCCATTGTATATCATCGCGCTATTGAAGAGTGTAAGTTATTAATAATCTAAACATACACATAGTTTATATTTAAGCGTGTTCGCTCTTAATTTTTTGTTGCGAATTTACAGATAGCGTTTAGATCCGGCACGAGTACACGTTTGGATGATCGTGTGTTTGCTATGTTTCAATTGAAGACATTACCATTAGCACAGTTAATACAGGTGGTCTTTCCCGATTTGTATCCTATTCACGCACTCGACGACCGCAATTCAAAGGACATTGATGGCAAAGTGTGCCCGCAGCCGCCGCGACTTCATTTATCCGCGGAAAAACTCGATAGTCGAGGCGCCTTTCTTATGGACGCTGGTGACAGAATCTTCATTTACATTGGCAAAAATATTAACCCAATTTTTTGTTCTAACGTACTCGGAGTTTCGGCATTTGTATCTATTCCGGAAGAAATGGTGAGTATTTTATAAATTTTATCAGTTACATTTAAAAAGATTGTAATTTACGGATTATAAAAATTTGTGATCCATCGAAATAGAAATTCAACAATCCATTATTTAAATTTACCTTGCAGTACGAACTACCCGAGTTGGATACAATAGAAAGCGAACGGTTGCGAAATTTTGTGTTTAGCTTGCAAGAGGAGAAGCCGTACTATGTATCTGTACAAATTATTAGGTAAGTACATTGTTTCTATTTGATAACAAAAAGTTATTGCAAATTGCAAGTTATTGTACTGGTACAATTATGCATCTTTTAAGCTGTCTACATCTTGATATATATTTCATATATAGTTAATTAATTTTTAGGGACGACAGCCACTTTAGGACATTATTTATCGAGCGATTGATAGAAGATCGATTCGAATCTGCTCTTAGTTATTACGAGTTCTTGCAACATCTCAAGACGCAAGTGAAAGAATGACCAAACTAAGGAAATTCTTGGATAAGATTAACTTGTGGAAGTGTTAATTATCGAATCCACACACATGAATCATGGAATCATAAAAAAATTGTGTGATTCATCACAATTCATCGATTTTGGGTCTCATTTGGGATATATTGGGACATATCACATGATTCAAGATCTACTTATGCCATCTACTTATGCAGCAGTGATAGCCTTATTGAAAGACACTGACACATCTCAATATGATAGATTGTAATTATTGTTATTATAATTATTATTATTACATATTACATGTTTCTTTATCATCAATAACTCCAATATATGGATTTACATTCTAGTTGTGTATAACCACTTGGGTTAAGCAATTTCTCAATGCTTTAACTTATATATATATATATCCAGCAAATGATATCCAATTTTTTATGATTTTGTGTTACATGTTACATCTATACGGCATTTTTATTTCTATGAGAGAAATTTTTATTCTTCAAGTAAAAAAATTTTTTTTCTTTAATAATGGTAATTTGTTGAATAGCATCAACAATGACGAGTATAAATCTGTTTGATGAGAGATATGTTTGAATAGAATATTTTCTTCAATTATATATTTGAGTTTTTTCTTTCTCGTTCATCGAAGTATCGTTATTGTCGCGAATTAATACGCAAGTGTTCTTATCTTAAATACCACACACATGTAGACACACATCTTCAAAATCATCAAAAATATTATTTACGCATAATTATACAAATATTATTTATTAATAATTATATGCAATGGAAATGGTATTAAATGAGTGCAATTTTGCATTTTTAATATAAGTAATAAAAGTAAAATGAAAGTGTGTGTACTTGCATGACGTGTGTCGCCAAATGAAAATATTTAATGGTGATAAACAATGCACTATTTGCAATTTAATCACCTATAGGCAATAAAACGAACAAGAGGATAGTAACGACTCATAAAATATTATATTATCAGTTGCTGTATGTAATTCTTCAAACAATGACAGGTTGTTAATCCATATTATAAGATTAGACATTGCAACAAGCATACTCGTGACGACAATTTCAAACAGTCGATAAACGTTACGATTAAAAGATATTGCAACTGAATTATGTAACTTATTAAGAATAGGAGATGCAGAGAATAATTTCATGCAAATGTAAAGTACTAATCGATCGTCGAAGCAGACATAAACTCGCCTATAAAAGATTATAAGAAATAAATAATGGTAAACGAATATATAGAATGGCGAGTGTATAGTAAATAAAAAAATTAATATTGTAAAATAATCATGCTGTTCGTACTGTATCGTACTGCCAAACAGGTTTCCTGGCATTGGTTTCTTTTTTGTCATTATATTTTACGATTTACTAAAAGCAAAAATAGCATGATGATTTAGTCTATTATTTAATAATACATTTATATGTACACACCACACAGACACACATACATATATACATATATACGCATAAATGCATTACATATATTGTATGGGAAATAATTGTACATCTTCTAACGAACCCTATCCGTGTACTACCCAATTTTTTATATATCACCAATTGTATATTACAAAAAAAATGCTTCAATTTTTAGTCTGCTATCTCTATTTTTTTTATCAATATAAAATCTCCTAATTTATCCCTACATATATATATATATTACTATTATTTTGGTCTCTGGATGTATAAAATATATCGCGCGTATGGATATAAAAAGCTATTCGCTATTACAATAATAGATGCAAATTTGTATTGGGGGGATATAGATAACATCGATATATCGTACAACTACCCCCTCTATTGTAGACCCGCACCGATATCGGCGTCGGCGTCGGCGTCGGCGCCGACATCGGAAACGACGACGGCGTCGGCGCTTGACGTTCAGCGCTCCGCGAGGCGTCGGCCGTTTGACTGCGTTATCAGTAGTGGTGCCGTCGTCCACGTGAGTAGGTGAAGGCCTTCGTTATAATAGCTGCTCGACGACCTGGGTAAGCCTTGTTTTGACTGGATCCTTCTCCCCCTGACCCCCTCTCTCCTCTCCACCCTCTTTTTTTTTCGAGTCCCGCATCGACCGGGCCAGGCCGCGATTTTTCCATCCACCTTTTATCCTCGCATCTTTCGCGAGCGGCGGCGACAGCCGCTCGTCGAACGGGGGTTGATAAAACGTAGAATGGAAATTTCGGCGAGATTCAAATAGAACGCCACTGAGTAGGAGAGGAGTCTCCCTCTCCCTCTCCCTCTCTCTATTTAGTATTAGCCATTTTTAATGTTAATTATAATAAAATTATAATAAAATTTCCTGCTAACTGTTAATTTTCTGAAAATAATTAAAAAAACAAGGTAGTATATATTAAAAATGTATAACTTTGTCTTTATTATTTGCTTTCATTATATTGTCTTATAAGACACAATATAATTATTTTATTTTATAATACAGACATAAATCAATAAATTTTCAGAAAATTAACCGTTAGCAGCAACTTTGGTAAATATAGCGAATAGGGGACCCAAACTTACAAAGTACATGCTACATTGTAAAGCAAAGTCCACCTTGCTTACATGTGGGGGGGGGGGGGGGGGGGGGGGGAGTATAGGTTCGTGAGAGAAACAGTTGTGACGTCTTATGTTTAATGTTTAATAAATCTGTATTTCGGGAATGCAATCGCCGTTATTCTCGATTTAACGTACGTTCCGCCGATAATCGCGAGATGACTCAATTCTTTTTTTCTTTCTTAGTTTAGCTAGAGAATAGCCTCTCCTTCTTTATATGATCTCGCGACAAACGCCGAATTAATTCGGCGAAACATGGAGGCGATGTTATAATTATTGTATTATATGCGCGCGTGGACTGATTTATATAAAATAAATAAGAGACACGAATTATGGAGAGATTTAAATTATTCTTGTGTTCTTTATATATGTATTTTTTTGCATTAAATAATTTATCATCGACTGAAGTGTGTGTACGATGAGTTAAGAAATTAGAAACATCTTCTAAAAAATTAATTATAGAACTAGATGACATTCGCTAAAAAAAAAAAAAAATAAAATACTATACCATGGTTCAAGGAGGTATCAGATATAAACTTTGTAAACAAATACATGATCTCTAGATAGGGTTCGTACGTTGGTGGAAGGTTAATTGGTCAGCTCCGGGTGAAACTATGTTTAGTAACAATTCTCTCTACGAGAGATGATATTTCTCTATTTTTATCTCCTTATCGTTGCGTGTCGCGGGTGAATTCCCGCCGTGTTTTTTTTTTGTTTCGATCATAAATTTACGCGTGGCCTTTTCCAATCTATTAGTATATCCTACTTTAATAGCATTGAAATTTTTTTGAAAGTCCCTGCATCCCGTTTCGTAATGTGAATTTCGCTAATTCGCACGGTTGATCTAACCGCATCGCAACGACGCGATAATTCTCCTCGGCACTTGGAAAAAGTTTTTTTTTTTTTTTTTTTTTTTTTTTTTTTGTTTGCCATGTCCGTCCTAGCCGAGTGTGTGCGCGGGATAGCAAATATTTGTACATGTTCGCGCGCGTTGCTCACTTTCTCGATGCAACACGTATCCTGAGATGCGCGAGAAAACCATATAACGAGAGAATATGTACTTAAATGTCGTCGAAATTCTTATAAATTCGTAAGTATGTTTGCTTTCTAAAAGACGACGTGATACAAGATTTTTTTAAATTTTAAATATAAAATGTAAGCCTATATATATCATATATGTGTATTTTGATTTGCTCTGCTAATGATAATCACTCTGGCCTCCATACCATTAATAATATATATTCTAACTTCAAAAAATGATGCTGTGTTTATTCAATTCAACGAAACTTCACAATTTCATTTTCTATCAGTCGCGTCGACTCAACAGTTGTCTCGATTCTCGATCTTATTTCGCGTGACTGAATTCTATTCGCGGTTAAAATTAATAATATCTGAAAAACTATGTTCCCTCCGACGGTTTTTGTCAGCTTGAAATTTCGAGCTTAAAATATAGGGAAAATAACAATGGTCACGACAGTTCAGACACGTGTTGGAGCAGGTCAAAAGTTCACTCTTGGCTCCGACGGGGATATGACGCTATATACACAGACACGTGTATTTGACAGGTAAATACGTTGAAATGTAAATTTCAGATTATCGAGATGTACGTACTGTCGAATGTCACGCCCTGTATCCGCGCGATATGTACACGATACCGTCTCATGCCGTTGTCGAAAAGATCGATACGCATCGCGCAAACCCTCTTAAAATACTCGCATCATTGTGCGTAAGGTACGACACGCAGGTCCCGAATTTGTCAAAAGAAAGCTCGATCGATTCGACTTTGGGGCGCGGGCGTAGAAATGTTTCGAGCGATATTAAAAGCTTCGTAATCCGCGCGAGGAAAATTTAAATCGAATCCCATATCGAGGGATCTCTCTCTCTCCCTATCTCTGTTTTTGTGTTACAGAAGGTCTTCACCCTGAAAATGGGAACGTAAAGGATGCTGCATATGAGGGCGGTTGATATTCTTCCTAAAGCCCGTCATATATCTTGGCCCGTTAATTAATTGGGCAATGACCAATGAGCACGCTTGGGATAAGTACAAACTAACATAACGGAAGGCGATCAGATCGCTTTCGCAAGTCATCGATCTTACATTATTTAGCGATCGATAGGATGGTATCGCGAGGGCAATCGAGAGTGTCGTCTAGTCGTATATTAATGGATTAATGTAACGCTCATTGCACTCGCAAGCGAAGACAATCGTAGTTGATTAATTAGTTATCGAATTAATATAAATATATAGAATACATATATAAAAAAAACATATA